CAGATGAATATATTTTTCGGCACGCAACTTTTTTTGATTGAATCGCAAGTATCGTAATAGTTCACTCTCTATCTTTACATACATGTCGACCATGAATTATTGACAAAGCTCACGCATCGTAGAATAACGTTGACCTGACCACGTCTAATCATCAACCGATATGCATAATAATCCTTCGAATGAACATTCTTCTTTGTTTTGGCACCTGTTGCGGGATCTTGTTGTTTAATATTTATGCAATACCCGTTATTTAATACTAAAAATAAAATTAATGATTTTTAAATAGTTTTTAATAATTTTTTAATAGTGTTTAACAGTTTTTTAATAGTTTCAATTAATAATTAATTTTAAATTGCGCAGTTATCGACAAAAATTATTAAATTAAACTACGATTTATTATAAAACAATAGCACTTAGGAGTATAAAAAATAAATAAAAACCTATTCGCAGACCTACCAAATGTATATCCAAAATTTTTTTTCGTAAAAACCTTCTTCTGGCAATTACGAACAATTAAAAACAATTTGAGCTAAATCTGTCCAGCTGTTCTCAATTGATAAATTGTTATACATTTTTGGCTCCATTTATATATATATATATATAGATTATTTTATAATGTTGAAAACATGAATTGCGTAGCACACATTTCTGTACGGACTAAATTGTTGTTTTCTTTTTGTTATAAGATTTTATAAAATTATATTTTGGTTCCTCCCCCCTAACCAAGGCTCCGAAACTGCCTCTGCTTCTAACGGACACGATTCTAATCAAACGGTTGACCACTTCGTTTCGGTCCTGTTTATTTTTCTAAGGTTTGCCGTACAATCGGTAATCAAAGAATTCGAACGGCAGCAGTGATTACTGACGACGTTCAATAATGTGAATACCAATCATAACGTAATGTCGTACGTAACATTTGTGACCCTTGGCCGTACTGTTTGTAGCGCATTTATCTACGAATAAAACGCGCGCGCGAGTACAACTATAATAATAAACAATTAGAAAACATTGATCCGTAATTACTATCATATTATTTTGGCGTCACATTGGCCGTAAAACGAAAGACAGTAATTATTCGACCGAGTTCAACACGATTTAAATTCATTTAATGATTGATTCGTCGTATAATTGTTAATATTAATATTATTATTATAATCGTTTTATTAAAACACTAAACCAGGATGTCGCAATAATATCACTGCGAAAGTACATGTATTTGGGTAAATCGTCTAGTGCGGTCTGATGTATTCTTAATAATACTTTATTCGTTGGCGTAGCCACGAATTATCCAAGGGGGGGGGGGGGGTTATGTTTTTGCACATCATTAAAATATATTGTACCGGTATGGTAAAACTGTAAATGGTCCACCGTCTGTTAAGACGAATAATTATACCTATTTGCGAACGATATTATTATTTATAATTTTTGTATAGAACACACATTTATTGACTTAATGTAGATACACAGGTAAAAATATAAACAAAAAACCTTATTTAATTGTAATATAAGTATTAGTATAAATTAAAAAAATTTATATAATATTAACATTTACGTTCTAAGTTAGATATAATGTATAAGTTATAGCAATCTTATTTTTTTTTTAGATTTTAGCAGTCATCGAGAACTTCATCTGTAGTTAAAACTATTTCACGATGAATATTTAGTAATGCTAAACTATTTAGTAGATTTTCTCCATAAGTATTATAGAGATACGTTTTAAGTCTTTTTAAAGTAGAAAATGACTTTTCCCTGTTTGCTGTAGTTACGGGAAGTGTAGCTAGTATTTGCAGAATTTTATAAGTTGATGGAAAAATGAGTGGCTTACATGTTATTAGTGCTTCCAATGCATTTTTTAGTTTACTGAATAAGGATTAGATTCTAAATCTTCACAATACTTCTTTGACAAACTTTTAATGTTTTCTTCTTTATCTGACGAATTATTGTTTGGCAAGAAACACCAAAATTTAGCGATTAGATATTTATGTACAATGAACATTTTGTCAAAAATTAGTATGTCGTAAATATTACCGTTATTTTATAAATTGTCTTAAATTTTTTTGTAATTATTAAGAAATCAGCGTACACAAATACAATATAACATGATAACCTAGTACAAAAAAATAATAATATTTTAACTTTATTCTACTAATTTGACAGAAATGAAACAAAGAATTTGCAATCTCAAAATTTTATTTGTAATATATTTCACGTAAATACATTCAAAATCACAATTTTTATTTATGTGGAAAAAATAACACACATATTTAGAATAGTGAAAAAATGAATTGTTAATACATAACAAAGTAATATGCATGAAATCTAAAAAATTGTTATACATTTTAATTGGGATATAAAACTACTTATTAAATAATGCAGTATGTACAGCGTCTATATCGTGAGTGACGTGCGCCGAAGATTTACACATATCAATAACACGTGGAAACATTTTGCGACTTGTTCTAGAACAAAATGTAATATATCATTAAAAAATATAATTATAATTATAAATAGTTACAATAAATGTTATAAAATCATATATTATAGACGTTAAGACTGTATATAATACCTATATCTGTTTATTAATTTAAGATTTCCATTATTTACCCAGGCAGAATTATTGGTCCAGCAGCATTATATTCAACATTTCTTACCATATCACACTTCATAAGCCTGCCATCAAACTGCCTGTTGTAAAATATATCAAATGTTTGAATGGCATCTTTCAGACATTCATATATCACTTCTGCAACACCTGGTCGTATTACTCTGGACTCTAATATATTACCAAAATCAGAAAAAAATTCATAAATAAGAAAATAAAAAAATTGATTATCAATCTAAGTAAGAAAAGCAATATTGAGTTATTTTATACTACATAGTTTTAATAAAATTAAATGCACACTATTATATCATGAGATGTAACAGACGGGTCTAAATTAGAAATAACAATTTTATGGCCAGAGAGACATGAACGCTTAGCCATAGCAGTTTATAATTTATATCAACACAAAAATATTTAAATATGTACATCTCAACCGATGGTTGAAATGTTATGGATCAAAAAATCAATTTATTTTTAACTCAGTATTAATGTACTCGTATTCATTAAAAATACATAAATATAAACTACTTAATTCTGTTGATTAAATTATTATACTAGATCAATGCTTATACATAATATAGAATTAAAATATGCAGTTATTTTCATGAATAGTTGAGTTACTTACATCATAAGTAGATGAATGTAATCGGCGTTTTTAGATTGTCAGTTTTTGTCTTGCATCTACCATTACAAAAGGTTCTCCTAAAGCTTTTTGCAATAGTCTAACACGGGCATCCATCACATTATTTATGGCCTTTCTCGTATTTGTTGTCAACATTCTTCGGCCGAACATGTTTACGAAAACGGAAAATGAGTGGGTGGTTTACGGGAGTCAAACGAGTGAACTAACATAAACGTCGTAAAAGTAAACAACACGGTTAATGAATAAGTTATACGACGTAAGACGATAGAATAACAATTCCGTCGATACAAAGGAAAACATTAGAAATCAAAGTAGCCAGAATGGTTGTTTTAACTCGGGATGTGATAGAAACACATTTCATAAACAAAAATGAGTATTTAAATATATATTTTTGGTAAAAATGTAACTCAACTGTTTCACCCTATAGAGGTACAACCTTTCCAAATTTCCGTCATAAATATTTGGCCTAGGGTGTGAAGTTCAGGATTTTTTTATAAATGTACATTTTTCTTCTTTTGTTACAGGCGTTTAGACAGTGGATGTGATCAGATAGATTTAGACTTATCATACAAAATTGGAAACACGACTATCGGTAAGATTTTAAGAAAAGCATGCAAAGCAATTTGGGAATGTTTATGCGCGGAGACTTTTCTTGATTTTACACAAGAATGTTGGAAAAAAATTTCTCGAAGTTTTAAGTAACTAACCTAAATTAGTAAGTATGTGGTGTAATATTATATAGACATACGGGTTACGGATTGACAATATTTTATCTAATATAAGTTATCTTTCCGTCGAAGGTAGAACACTTAAACATTTCCGCAGATTTCATATTTTATTTATATTTATTCGCCAACAATATTTTAGTCTATCGCAACGGTCGCCAACCTCTTGGTCCTCACGGACCACTAAATACATACTCTAAATTCTACGGACCACTTTTAGCTTAAAATAGCTTTTTACATAAACACCGTTAAATAAATCGATGAGGTATTTTTTTTCTTTTGTATTTAACTTGTTATTTTAATTGTTTGCTGCAAATGATTCTATTATCCACATAGTACCATGTCTAGGGTTTAAGGTTTTTGGGAAATAAAGACAAAAAGATTCTGTAAGTAACGTTTAAATTTTTTTGCGGACTATCTAAATTTTCTCGCAGACCATCGATTAGCGACCACTGGTCTATCAGTAAGTTTATAATCACTATTAATATTCTTAGAAGTTGGATGGAAATTATAATTTTATGAACAAGTAGTGATGCAGTTTAAATGTATATAAATATAATATGTTGTATAACATTTTTATTACAAGATGGAATGGTATATTTCTCCTTTACTGGGCACTCAAAATTTCGGATGAAGATCTCCCAGAACATTTTGCATCCAGTGTAGTTGTTGAAATGAATTTACACATCTATCAACTGTTGATGTTAAAAGTTCATTTAATCTCTATAAACACATTTCCAGTGATAGAAGAACTAACATGAGTACAGATAATATGGAAAATATGTTATTTTTAATTCATATAATAACATTTAAATTGTATATTTGGAGTTTCTTTTTTATTCTTCAAAAAGTAAATATTTTATATATATATATATATATTTTATAATTTTATTTTATTGATTCTAACATAATGTTTTGTAGTTTAGGGTAATTAAAAAACACGTATACTTTTTGTATGTTGCCAGTTTCGTATGAATTAAATATTACATGTACCAGATAATGCTTAATTTAAACTATGTGAAGTGCAATGAATGTAGTGATCAAGTGGATATTTTTTGTATTAGTTTTAGATTTTCTTTTCTGACTATGTATAGTATCCAAAGTAATTACTTACTAAAAAAAACATAACAGTAAACAGTTAAGAGACCAACAAACTAGTAGACTACTTCAGTAGAAAACACTCATGATTTAGAGGCACAACGTCTCTAACTCTCAGCAGCACAATGTTATCACTGCGGCACTGTATCATACAATCAATACCAAGTTTTAAGATAAACGGTTTAAGATAGGTTTAAGATATAGGTATATTTTAAACCATGGTCAAAACTAATGAGTCATCACTGTGTAAACTGCATTCTACAATCAACACTGATATCCGTAGGTACGCAACAATAGCACTACACTATATAAAATTACTTAATCACCAAAAATCCATTATAAAATTTAAAATTATTCTCATCATATAGAAATCATAGATCATAAAATCATATGCACTAATTAAAGAAAATAAAATAAAACTCTCTACTCCAAGCTAGAGGGTATCCACGCTGGTGGACCATGGTAGAACGCCATTTCACGTTATGTTCCTTATATTATCAAATTTACTTATTGTATTTTATATAAATATTACAGATTTTAAATACTCTATTTCATAAAAAAAAAAAAAAAAAAATCGGTGAAAAGAAAAAAAAATGTTCATAAAGAAATTGATAGGACAATACCATCCTCCCTTTTTTTTAGGCCAAGGGGGGGCTTTGAAACCTTAAACCCCCCTGGCTACGATATTAACCTTATTATTATCGTGAATCATTGTATAGACCATTTTGAGAAAACAATGAATTAAGTTAATATTCTTTAACGATATAAACGGAAAACGAAAATCATGCGAACAGTTGGTATACTGAACTCTTAATCGGGTTTGGCAGTACTGAATATAATGAAGTTGGTTTTTAAATTGATTATATAATTATGCTAACATTTTGGACGGTTATTGAATTGTTTAACACATTAGTTATACACAAACGTAACTGAATAAACATAATATTAAATTATTATAGTCGCTACATTTTTAGATTGTTGGATTACTAATGCGCCTGTCAATTGCTCATAGATTACATACTCGTATATACTAAAAAATCAGTGTAAAACTTATACAGTAAGTCCTCGTTTAACGTCGAGGTTAGGCTCCTGGAAAATACAACGTTAACCGAAAAAACGTTAAGAACGTTTAAAAACGTTGATACACTATTTACATACACTTGATTATAATGGGTTTCTGCCAATAAATAACAATGTATGTATGTATTATTATAGTTATTATAATTGCAAGATTTAATTATTTTGTTCTTTATTATTAATTTATTGATTAACAAATACTATGCAACACTCAAATAATTCGTATTTGTACAAACAGCATAAAATACTGCAAAAAGTGTCGTTGAACAACTGACCATCAATAAAATGAAAAACGATTACGAAGTACATAGTACCTATTACTTAAAATAAGTACAAATTGTACTCTCGTATGATAAGTATGCCAATAAAAACGATAACATTATGTATTATATGAAAAAGGTCGGTCATATTGAATTACATAATTTTATATGAAATTTATATAAATATAATAATAATTTGATGAATATGCGTATACAAACGACGTTACACTGAAACCGTAGCAGTGTGAAATGAAACATAAGGACTTAAACTTCTACGACGCAATCAGTGCTGCAATTACAAAATAGGAAGCCTATGTGCGGTAATTATATTGGGCCCCTTCCTAGAATTTATCTTTGTTCAATTTAAGTATCAATTTTTTTTAGGTTTTCACACATTTCACATCAGTTAGTGCATGATATATGTATATATATATATATATATATATATATATATATATATATATATACATCAAAATAAATACCTATAATAGTTGTATATTATACTTCATTACAAATTTATGTAGTAAATTTATTTAAGTAGTTTAGGTAGATATGTTTGTTGTATGCCTACTCAAATACTCAATGGACTCATTGTTAAATAAATATTATATTATTCTAAAATATTATAACAACCTTACCTGAATTTTAAAAAAAATTTCTTTTTATAAATAATTAATTGTGTGTTTGTAAAGTGTAGTTTATTTCAGGTTGGAACTGGGGGCCTCCCAAATTTATGTAAGCCTTGGGGCCCGTGTGTGCGGCATACTCTGCACACCCGGTTTTTGCACTGAACGTAATACCGAAATAACGCTAAATAAGGCGACGTTAAACGAGGACTTACTGTATATATTCATAGATAACCATTTCAACTATTTACTTTTCACTTAAAGGGTTAGTTTATTTTTAATACCATAAAACATAAATAATCATACATATAAAAAGTATTTAATATATTTTTTTTAATTTCTTAAATATTTGAAAATAAGCATAAGCTTTTTGTGTTAAATTGTAATAAAGACGATGTGAAAACATTTAATGGCTATACGCGAATAGGTACAGTTACTGTTAATTTTAAGGAAATCATGAAACAAAAAATATTTTTAAATAGACATAATATGTCTATATGTATATATACTCGTATGTTATATTGCATTTCATTCAAAATAAATACCAATAACAATAAAACTAAATAAGTTAGAAATAATAATAATAACAATAATAACAGTCACGATAATATATTTTGATCGATTAAACTTTGTACTTAATATTGTTGAATAAATTCACTAAATTATTCGAACTATTTTTTTTTTTTTTTTACAAAATTGTTATTCCATTGTATTTTCAGATATATACACGCTTAATTCGAAT